CCTGTACTCCACCGGGAGCCAGTGTGGCTGGAAAAGCACTGGGTGAATATGCTCCCATGGCAGGGACCCCGTGAGGAGCCTCGCTTTCTGCACCCGCTGGTGTTTCTGGGACAGGTTCAAGGGCAGCCCCGCGTAGAGCGAATTACAGTAGTCAAGCCTGGAGATGACCGTCGCATGCATCACTTTTAGGGCAATGCATGGTGCTTTTGTTTGACACATAAAAATCTGGCTGCTCCCAAAGACTTGTCTGTCTGTCTCTGCACCACAACACTGCTTTGGAACGGCTTCTTTCTGATTGGTGGTTAAAATGGCTCTTGGTTGGTGCTGGTGCTTGAGGATGATGAAAGGTACCTAACGAAAAAAGTTGGGTTTACAAAAAATTCCCTAAAGCCACTTTTCTCGGGCTAGGCGAGCCATTGTCCTGGTCCCACTCATCTTATGGTGGACTACAAAGCTCTTAACAGCTTCTGATCAGATTGCCTTCCCCCATGTATTCCCAACTCAACTGCTTTGAGAAAACTGGCACAGTTACCGGTTCCACATAGAACACCTGCACTTGTGAGAAAGCAAAGTTTTAGTGTGGCGACACAGGTAGACTTTGGTGCCTGCAAAAATAAATAAATGTTTGTTTAGGCAAGCCCATCCAGATATTTAAAATGTGGACATGCATTTTAATCTCATTCTCAGCAAACGGTTAATTTGTAATTATTTCTAAATATTTTAAATAGTTGTGTGTAACTTCTTTTACTGATGAAAAAAATTCTGTATGTGTGTGTGTGGGGGTGTGTGTGTGAAACCGGGTACCACCTGACCTTGCTATGTCTCTGGAGCTGGAGCTGCAGAATTGGTCCTTTCCCCTGCAAGCTGCTCCTCCACTTTCTGGCCAAGGGAGGGAGATGCTCAGAGTCCAGCCAAGAGCCTCACCCCACAAAGGGATATCTGGGCATTGGAGTAGCCATGGGGGCAGCTGCCCCCCTAAATGCATAAAAAATAATAGACATCTGAGAGAGGGCTGAGCTGGAGGGACTCGGCTTGGCAAGGGTTAAAGGGAACAGAGCTGCCTTCCTAGAGAGGCCAGGAAGCAAAGGGGGGCAGGTCCTCCAGAGCCAAAGCCCCCTCCCTCCCCAGTCCTTTCCCGCTTCGGTGTCTCTCCTGGGATCTGGTGAGTCTCCTCTCTCTCTGGGATCTGGTGGGGGTCTCAGGGCTGCAGCAGGGGAGGGGGCCTGGGGGGCCTGATCTGCTCCTGCGGGGGGGTGACCCCAAGTCAGGGAGGAGAGGGTCCTGCCAGGGAGGGGCCAGGTCTGCCACGCTCTCCTTCCTGCAGATCAGAGGATCCCAAACTCATTTCACCCTCCGCCCCCCCCTTTCAGAAAAGATCTCCCTTCTTTATACAAAGGAATCCCTGGGACTTTAACTCCGCGTGACATCGCTCAGCCTCATTGCACAACAGAGGAAACATCTGCAAATGGTTTTCCAAAGCTGGACGAGGAGGTGGACTAGCCCCCCCCAAAAAAAAAAGGGTGGGAGAGAAAGGCCAGGAATAAAGAGAGGGATCCCAGCCCATAGCCTGGCTGCTTCATTGGGGGCCAGTTTCCCAGTGTCTCCCAGGGCAGCTCCCCACGGAGGCCACTGCAGCAATCCCCTCGCACCCAGAGCAGGGCATCCCAGGACCACATCCTCTCTCTCCCAAAGGGATTGTTGCTGGCAAAGCAGCCGGAAATGGGCGCTGCTACTCCCTGAGCCTCCAGGGACCTTGGCATCAATGGTTGTGCGTGTGTGTTAAGCTATCGTAAGAGAATAATACTAATAAATTGGCCGCATAAATTTCAAGGGAGGTGTCTTGGCCTCATCCACTTGGCCCTCAGGGGTTTGGCCGAGATACATTCCTGGCCCTCGGAGCAAAGAAAAAGGGACCCCACCCCAGGAGTCTGTCGTGAGAGCGGCAGAGAGTCCAAGTGCAAGAAAAGGAAACAGAAGCAGGGGAGTGGGGGTGGGGGGAGAACAACTCCTGAGGACCCCCAGGTGAGGACCCCCACTAGAGCCAAGCATACAAATGACTCCCTTGTCAGTCAGTTCTGACTTCATGCATTGACTGGAAGGCAGCAGAAACCAGCCTGATTCTTCTCCCAGAAATCCCTTCAGTTGCCTCCACATTTTGCATTGCAATCTTCCTTCTAGGAGAGCTAGAGGCTGCTTCCTCCTCCTCTCCTCTTCCTCCTCCTCCTCCTCTTCCTCCTCCTCCTCCTCCTCCTCCTCTCCTCTTTTTTTAAAAAGGCCCTTTCCACCTGGCCTAGGGGGTGAGGCCCAGACTCACCCAGCCCTACTGTGTTAAATATGTATTCTGTAGTTGACCTCCTTTGTAATGTTTTATTTTGATATCTTTAAGAGAGTATTTGTTTTCTGTTATGTTGCTTTGACTATCGACTATATATTGACTTTCTTCCGATGGTTTTATTTCTATTTTATTGATTTTGTGGGATGTGAAACTGCAGTCAAGTAGAACATTCCTACAGGGGACACATTAGGGGATGTTTTCTACCACTCAGGAGAAGACTTCCTGTTTCCTCCTGAGCTGGGACAGACTTCCACTCCATGTGACTTGAAGAGGGTGCAGTCTGTTGTACTAGCATGGAGGAGCACATGGCCTCCATCTTCTGATCAGTGTGTCTTCTCCATTTTGTATGTTGCTGTGTGTTTGGGGAAGTGACTCTTTAGTGGCAGTCATTTGGGACTAACTTCTTTATGGAATAGTTCTAGTTGTTATGTAACAACCTGCCTGTCTGTGAACGTGAACAAATCTGTGAGTAAACTACTTTTATATTATCGTGAATCAGATTATTGTGCTTATTCATTTAAAAGGGATTGGAAGGGATTTTACCAGGGAGGAATTTTTAATAGTAAGACATCAGATGAGTCAGCAACAAGCTGATCGCTGCGTAATCTAAAAAAGGGGGATGTATGGAACTAGAATATGGAACTTGCTAGTGCATGTTAGGAAGCATATCATTCAATAATATATCTTCTTCTAACTCCCCAATTATCCCCACAGATTTAATATGCTGTAAACCACTTTGAGATTTCTCTTTAAAATATAAAGTGTTATAGAAATTTAAATAAATAAAATAGCTCACGGTTTGGGCTGTGGTGCAGTCCAGCCCTGGTTCCCTCCAAGACTCATCCATGCTTGCTCAGGGAACCTTTTTCTTCTCCTAATATTAGACAGCTTTTGTAACTGAACAATGTATTTGCTTTACAGGATTTCTAGCGCCTCTCCTTAAGACAGACAGAACTTGGCAGAAGACCAAAGGGTTCCTTCCGATCTCTCAGAGGCTTCCTGAGAGCACAGATGGATGAGCGAGACTCAGCTGGCCCTGAAGCAGAAGAGGCCATGCCATCCAAACTGGGAGCAGTGGGGGGTTCTGGGAAAACTCTGTGCAGAAGATCCTGGGTGAGGAGGACACCCTCCGCTCAGAGGTGCAGAGCCAGCAGTTGAGGCAGCTCTGCTGCCAGGAGGCCAAAGGACCCCGAGAGGTTTGTAGCCGACTCTACCACCTTTGCCATCAGTGGCTGAAGCCAGAAAGGCACACGAAAGCTGAGATGCTGGACCTGGTGATCTTGGAGCAGTTCCTGGCTGTCCTTCCCCCGGAGATGGAGAGCTGGGTGAGGGAATGCGGAGCGGAGACCAGTTCCCAGGCGGTGGCCCTGGCTGAAGGTTTCCTCCTGAGTCAGGCAGAGGAGAGAAAGCAGGTGAGAGAGACTTTCCTCTGGATACTCCCAAGGGGCTCCAAACAGGACAGAGAACATCCCATAATGGTCTGCTGATGGCCCATCCTTTTTCTGAGAAGGCATCCATGGAATGAGTTCTGACATCCTTAAAGCTGTTGGCCCTGACATTCATTTTTTATTTTTTATTTTTTTAATATATTTTTTATTAGTTTTCCAATATAAAACTATACAAAACAAAACATCCAATTTATCACCAACATCTTTTTTTTTTACTTCCATCAACATGTCTGATAATTCTCCGTCTTGATCACTTCTTGCACATTTCTTAATTTAATATTGCACTACAATAATATCTTAATTTACCTTATTTTTTAAACAATATTTCTACCATACATTCTCACAGAGCTTCCTGAAAGCTTACAAATGTTATCTGGTCATCACATATAGTTTTCATATAATCTGTAAATTTAATCCAGTCTTCAGTGAATCTCTGGTCTTGTCGGTTCCGGATCCTTCCTGTTGATTTATCAAGTTCTGCGTATTCCATTAATTTCATTCTCCATTTTTCAATCATAAGTAATTCTTCTTGTTTCCATTTTTGGGCCATTAGTATTCTTGCTGCCGTTACTGTGTATAAAAATAACTTCCATTCTTTCTTATTAATTTCATTTCCTATTATTCCTAATAGAAATGCTTCTGGTTTCTTAACAAATGTATATTTCAACATCTTTTGTAACTCATTATATATCCTTTCCCAAAAGCATTTCACTTTTTTACACTCCCACCACATATGGTAAAATGTTCCTTCTTTTTCTTTACAGTTCCAACATTTATTACTTACTTTATAAATTTTTGCTGATTTTACTGGTGTTACATACCATCTATATATCATTTTCATCACATTTTCCTTTATTATAGTACACGCAGTAAATTTCAGTCCTTCATTCCACAATTTAACCCAGTCTTTAAATTGTATATTATATCCAAAATCTTTGGCCCAATGGATCATAAGCGATTTAACCTCCTCGTCCTTTGTATACCATTCCAATAATAATTTATACATTTTAGACAAAAAATTTACGTCATTATTCAGTACTTCCAATTGATATTTTGATTCCTTATCGGTAAAACCTCTTTCTAATACATCTTTTTTAAACATTTCATTAATGTTTTCGTTGCCTCCAAAGGAGGTTACCTGGCGGTCGGGGGAATCGCAAAACGGCTGTGCCAGGGATCCTGCCCCCTGGATCTCCTTCCAGGGAGGTTTTAGGGGGCTGCGGCGCCCTTGCAGCACCCCCTTTTTCCTCCCAAGAGCTGGATTCCCTCTCCAGAGAGAAATCCCGCTTGTCTTCGCTCCCGCGATCAGCCGGAATTCTCTCTGACATTCATTTTTAAATCCTTCTCCCCATTCTCTCTTTTGAATCCTTGTTTCTTTTTCAGGGAAAGGATCTCTTTGCAGAAATGGACCAGATTTCTTCTGAGGCAGAGAGGCCTCCGCTGAACACCAGAGAGAGGCCACTGGGTAAGGAGGAAGGTGGTGTTTCTCTGTTTGGTCTCATTCTGTTGGTTTTCCAACTCATCAGAGGAGGGAAGATATATTTTTTCACACATAACATCTCTAATGCACCCAAATATCCAAATGCACTCAGCAGGCGAGACTTTCTCAAAGGCCCCTGTGTAGTTTGAGATGCACTGATTTACCTGCGAGACAAGAAGGCACTCTGGGCCTCCCCCTTACCTTTTTTCTCTTGCAGGTGACACAGTGATACTGGCTAGACCTCTTCAACCATCTCTGAATGGGGACAGAATGGAAGCAGCGGCTGTGGAACCAGATCAGGTCAGGGGAAGCAGCCTTGTGGGGACAGATGCCAAGGGGTGGAACAATGTCCTAGCTCAAGGAGTGGTGGTGAACAACAGTGTTGTCTCAGAGTAGGACATTTCCCTTCTTCTTTTAGGGTCCAGTGTGCTTTGAAGATGTTGCTGTTTGTTTCACGGATGAGGAGTGGGCGTTGCTGGATCCTGACCAGAGAGCTCTGCATAAGGACATCATGGAGGAGAATTCTGGGATCATGGCCTCTCTTGGTAAGGCTCCTAGTGGAATCATAATATCAGTTTTTAAATTCAAAACTCCATATGTCACGAACCTCATATATTTTCACAGACCTCAACAGCGCCCCCTACAACACTGGATATTACAGTATCCCCCCCCCAAAAAAACCCTTGAATAGTAAATTACTGTTTTTTCTGTGAATGTTCTTCCTCCCGTTGCAGCTTATTAAACAAGCAGCAGCCTGGTCTGAACTCCCCAGACCCTTTTGACTGTAAACTTCAGAGTTGTTAGGGAAGTTGAAGTAGCCTCTGTCAGGTTTTCAGTTTTTGTTTTTCCTCCCGTCAGTCTTTGGTTGTCCAAAGAGAAGACTGACATTGGAAACGGAGGGATGCCATGATGGAGCCAAACAAAATCGATTCAAGAGAAGAGCCAGGCTTATCGAATCACAGGTTCCCCAAAGGATGTCGGTTGATCCCCGTTAATTAATGCACCCAACCCTTCAGAAAACCATCCATCTAACCCACTTGGGTTAGTCCTCTATTACCAGAGTTAACAAGTATTGTACCTTAATTTCTCCCTAATGTGCTAATCCATTTCTCTTCATTGTAGATAGAGATGGACTGGAAATTAACAACATGGGTGACCATGACAAAATCCCCACAATGGAGAAGCTGAATAAATATCTTGAATGTGGGAAAAGTTCCTTTTCCACTTCCCATCAAAGAAATCCCATTGGGAAGAAACCCTATCAGTGCATGGAATGTGGAAAGAGATTCACTCAAAAGGTCAATCTCACGTCCCATCAAAGAATTCATACAGGGGAGAAACCCTATCAGTGCGTGGAATGTGGAAAGAGCTTCAGGAATAGCTCAAAACTCACTTCCCATCAAAGAATACATACAGGGGAGAAGCCCTATCAGTGTGGGGAATGTGGAAAGAGCTTCACTCACAGCCACAATCTCACTTCCCATCATAGAATTCATACAGGGGAGAAACCCTATCAGTGTGTGGAATGTGGAAAGAGCTTCACTGAAAGCTCCTCTCTCACTTCCCATCAAAGAATTCATACAGGGGAGAAACCCTATCAGTGTGTGGAATGTGGAAAGAGCTTCAGTACAAGCTCCTCTCTGAGTTCCCATCAAAGAATTCATACAGGGGAGAAACCCTATCAGTGTGTGGAATGTGGAAAGAGCTTCAGGAATAGCTCAAAACTCACTTCCCATCACAGAATTCATACAGGGGAGAAACCCTATCAGTGTGTGGAATGTGGAAAGAGCTTCACTGATATCTCCACTCTCACTTCCCATCAGAAAATTCATACAGGGGAGAAACCCTATCCGTGTGTGGAATGTGGAAAGAGCTTCACTCAGAGCCACAATCTTACTTCCCATCAAATAATTCATACAGGGGAGAAACCCTATCAGTGTGTGGATTGTGGAAAGAGCTTCAGTCATAGCAGCAGTCTCACTCGCCATCAGAGAATTCATACAGGGGAGAAACCCTATCAGTGCGTGGAATGTGAAAAGACCTTCAGTCAGAGCGCCAGTCTCACTTTCCATCAAAGAATTCATACAGGGGAGAAACCCTATCAGTGTGTGGAATGTGGAAAGAGCTTCAGTTTCAACCACCATCTCACTTCCCATCAGAGAATTCATACAGGGGAGAAACCCTATCAGTGCGTGGAATGTGAAAAGACCTTCAGTCAGAGCACCAGTCTCACTTCCCATCAAAGAATTCATACAGGGGAGAAACCCTATCAGTGTGTGGAATGTGGAAAGAGCTTCAGTCAGAGCTCCTCTCTCACTTCCCATCACAGAATTCATACAGGGGAGAAACCCTATCAGTGTGTGGAATGTGGAAAGAGCTTCCGGAGGAGCTCCTCTCTCAGTTCCCATCAAAGAATTCATACAAAGTTCCCAAAACCCGTTATTATACAGCTTTCAGTGCCAGGGAAAAACTCATCTCTTTAACCAGTCCTTTGGCTGATTGACATCTAATGCCCTTTTACAATGTGGTGGGGAGGTGGGGGTTACAGGTTTTGGGGGCGGTGTTTTGTGTTTTCATTCTGTGATTTTATGTTGTAACTGTCCTGTGACCTGTGATTGTAGGGAATGGGAGCCAACTCTTAGAGTCTGAGAGCTCTTTGCCCCCTAATAAGATATTTGAGGGGGCCACCCCCCAGTTCATAGGAACAGCCATTCAATTGGCATGCTTGCACCCCATCCTGTGACTGTTTAACTGAGGCGGGGCTTGCTAAACCCCTCCTATATTTTATTCAAGTTGGCATCCCTGCTATAGGGCGCTATAAAAGTCAAATAAATGCATAAATAAAACAAAACGATCTTGGTCGCCTTCTTTTGCACTTGTTCCAGCTTGTCAATATCCTTAATATTAGTTACAGATAGGTAGCAGTGTTGGTCTGCCATAGTCAAAACAAAAACGAAAGCTCATACGAAGAACTAACTTAGTTGGTCTTTAAGGTGCTGCTGGAAGGAATTTTTGTTGTTGTGTGTATCTGAAGAAATGTGCATGCACACGAAAGCTCATACCAAGAACTAACTTAGTTGGTCTTTAAGGTGCTACTGGAAGGAATTTTTTTTGTTTCTTCTTAATATTAGCATTTTAAAAAAATTATGTACCCTTCATGGGTTTCTCAAAAACAAGTCAAGCTAGAGAAATATCTCTTTTTTCTTTTTCTTTTTTTGGATGGAGTTACAGATTGTTTCTCAGGGGACTGCTGTGGTAATAGTGCATCTTAATTTCAGTAAGGTTTTTGACAAAGTCCCCCTTGATATTTATGTGAGGAAGCTGGTAAAATGAGGCTGAACTTGGTAACTGTTAGGCTGATTTGACTGACCGAACCCGAAGAGGACTCCTTCATGGTTCCTCCTCATCCTGGGGAAAAGTGACAAGAGGGGTGCTGCAGGGTTCTGTCCTGGGCCCGTTGTTGTTCAACGTCTTTATAAATGACTTGGATGAAGGAACTGAGGGGATGCTCATCACATTTGCAGACGACACCAAACGGGGAGCGGAGGCCAATGTGGCAGAAGGCAGAATCCGATCAAGGGCAGGAATAGTACCACTTTCTTCTGCCTTGGTCAGGCCCCACCTAGAATACTGTGTTCAATTCTGGGCACCACAATTTAAGTATCTTAAATTTTGTTTGCCAGGGGAAATCAAGAAGGTGAGGGAACACAATCCATATTCCTTTTATAACACGTGGCAAATGTTTATTGAATATATAAATTGTTAAAACTGTTGCAGGAATCCACCCAGCACTCATGGGAAAATCTATCGTGGTCTTTTAGAACAGGCATCCCCAAACTCGGCGCTCCAGATGTTTTTGGACTACAGCTCCCATCATCCCTAGCTAACAGGACTAGTGGTCTGGGATGCTGGGAATTGTAGTCCCAAAACATCTGGAGGGCCGAGTTTGGGGGATGCCTGTTTTAGAATAATGAAATGAAACTTTAACACATGACATGCTGAAAGTCTGAAATTCCATCAGGACAAGTTACTTTTTGTTTACTGTTGTAACTATTGCTTTCTGAATATTTATCTTCTGTACCATGAAGATAAAGAAAAATAATGTTTTTTAAAAAGGAGATGGGGAAATCATGTGTACTATTCCATCAGTCTGCTTGCATGTGTTGAGTTTTATTTGGAGACTGTAACTCCCAGTAATTTCATTATCTGTATGTGTTTCTGTGTGTTCAGCACACATGATTGCAGGTGAGACTGAGTAAAACACTTCATCGGAAAAATTAGAAGCATCTAATGTTCCCTGGACTTTTAGTAATAAATAATAATAATTTTATTATTTATATCCCGCCCTCCCCAGCCAAGGCCAGGCTCAGAGCGGCTTACAAGCAATAATAAAAACAAGATGAATGATTGCAACTTAAGAACAAAATTAAAATATAGCCGTGAAGGGCTTTAAAGGTCAAAAGCAGCACCTTAAATCTGACCCTGTACTCCACCGGGAGCCAGTGCAGCTGGAAAAGCACTGGGTGAATATGCTCCTATGGCAGAGACCCCGTGAGGAGTCTCGCTGCAGCATTCAGCACCCGCTGGAGTTTCTGGGACAGCTTCAAGGGCAGCCCCGCGTAGAGCGAATTACAGTAGTCAAGCCTGGAGATGACCGTCGCATGGATCACTTTTAGGGCAATGCATAGTGCTTTTGTTTGACACATAAAAATCTGGCTGCTCCCAAAGACTTGTCTGTCTGTCTCTGCACCACAACACTGCTTTGGAACGGCTTCTTTCTGATTGGTGGTTAAAATGACTATTGGCTGGTGCTGGTGCTTGAGGATGATGAAAGGTACTTAACGAAAAAAGCTTGGTTTACAAAAAATTCCCTAAAGCCACGTTTCTCAGGCTAGGCGAGCCATTGTCCTGGTCCCACTCATCTTATGGTGGACTACAAAGCTCTTAACAGCTTCTGACCAGATTGCCTTCCCCCATGTATTCCCAACTCAACTGCTTTGAGAAAACTGGCACAGTTACTGGTTCCACATAGAACACCTGTACTTGTGAGAAAGCAAAGTTTTAGTGTGGCGACACAGGTAGACTTTGGAACTCCCTGCCTGCAGTTCTTTTTTTATTCCTTTTTATTTTTTCCCGCTTTTCTTTTTGGTAACTGCAAAAATACCTGTTCCCGCTTTTCTTTTTGGTAACTGAAAAAATAAATAAATGTTTGTTTAGGCAAGCCCATCCAGATATTTAAAATGTGGACATGCATTTTAATCTCATTCTCAGCAAACGGTTCATTTGTAATTATTTCTAAATATTTTAAATAGTTGTGTGTATCTTCTTTTACTGATGAAAAAATTTCTGTATGTGTGTGTGGGGTGTGTGTGTGTGTGTGACACCGGGTACCACCTGACCTTGCTATTGCCTCTGGAGCTGGAGCTGCGGAATTGGTCCTTTTCCCTGCAAGCTGCTCCTCCACTTTCCGGCCAAGGGAGGGAGATGCTCAGAGTCCAGCCAAGAGCCTCACCCCCCAAAGGGTATCTGGGCATGGGCGTAGCTGGGGGGGGCAGCTGGCCCCCAAAATCCATAAAAAATGTTAGAAATCTGAGGTTTTTCCAAGCGAGAGAGGGCTGAGCTGGAGGGACTCGGCTTGGCAAGGGTTAAAGGGAAGTGAGCTGCCTTCCTAGAGAGGACAGGAAGCAAGGGGGGGCAGGTCCTCCAGAGCCAAGGCCCCTCCCTCCCCAGTCCTTTCCTTGCTTTGGTGTCTCTCCTGCAAGGGCTGCCTCGCTGCCCCCTCCCGGGATCTGGTGAGTCTCCTCTCTCTTTGGGATCTGGTGGGGATCCCAGGGCTGCAGCAGGGGAGGGGGCCTGGGGGGGGCCTGATCTGCTCCTGCACGGGGGGGGGGACCCCAAGTCAGGGAGGAGAGGGTCCTGCCAGGGAGGGGCCAGGTCTGCCACGCTCTCCTTCCTGCAGATCAGAGGATCCCAAACTCATTTGACCCTCCGCCCCCCCCCTTTCAGAAAAGATCTCCCTTCTTTAAACAAAGGAGTCCCTGGGACTTTAACTCTGTGTGACATCGCTCAGCCTCATTGCACAACAGAGGAAACATGTGCAAATGGTTTTCCAAAGCCGGACGAGGAGGTGGACTAGCCCCCCCCCAAAAAAAAAAGGTGGGAGAGGAAGGCCAGGAATAAAGAGAGGGATCCCAGCCCAGAGCCTGG